ATACTATTTACTAATTGGGTTCACTGATTGGACACATGTGTTTTCAATTTTGAGTGGTAGTGTGTAAATGATGAAAACAGTGTGTTAGTTGTATTTAACTTCTGTAGTCTGTGTGCACCATTCTGGGTACAAGTGCACCACACTGCTAAATGTGTTTTGTGTTTGAGAATGTGTTTAGAGTTTTGGTAAATGGGAGATTCAGATTTGCAAATTGTGTCCTAACCAGGTGAATAGTGTTTAAGATTTTGACAACTGTGGGATTGATTTGATGAAAGAGTTTTGGTAGTTGACAGTTTAGTTTTTACAATGGGATTTAGTGTTTTAGTAATTCAGAAAAACTGTAATATTCCAGTATCCTGTTTTTCAGGATATTATATTTTTGTACTGTGTACATTTTAATTTGTTTGCACCCTTTTTTACTTGTTTTCACTGCATACTCTCTTTGTGCTTTGTCTATATATGTACGTCCATCTCTTCACACTTGCTGCCTTATGCGCAAGGATTTCCCTTTGGGATCAGTAAAGTATTTCTTAATCTTAATCTTTTGATGTAGACAGTTTTTTCCTAGTTGGTAAGCACAGCTGGTACTGTACTCCGTAAAAAAAATTTTTTCTATCTGCTACTTTCTTATATTGAAAATGATGATCTTGCCAAGAGTCAAACACACATAGGCAGGAATTAGACTAATCTAGGCTTAGGAAGGTGCCCTTTATAAGTATTCATCATAGATTTCATAAGGTGCCTGTATTCTCGAATACCGTTTCATAAACATAAAATGAGCTGAATACAGAATACGGATTTTTATATTCTGAATATGTAACGCAGGTACCTGTATTCCAGTACAACCCAACCCTGGTGTCATGTAACTGGGAATATGTGAATTGTACCTTTATAAAGGGAGCCAAAGGAAAGACAGCAAGTGTTTAGATGAGGAAAACCTGATTTTACATTTTATATTAATAATAATGATAGGATAGGACACTAGTGTGGATAATTGTACACTACAGACTAATGTAATCTTTCTCTTTTCAGAATATTCAATTCCGATTGCAGTAGCTACTTTGGGAATATGTGGCTGCATATATGTCAAGGATTATTTATTGAATTATGAAAAAAAGCGCTTGGAGGGATTTTACTGTAAGTAGGAAACTTTGTACTGAACTATATTCAGCCTGTTTGTTACTGATATTTCACACAAGTCACTCTATATATTAAGTCAGAGTACAACTAAAATCCATATAATTATCAAAATTTGCCTTTCCCCTGCTTATATGAAGTTTAAAATTGCAATGAATTGCACAATTATGCATATTCAAATATTGACTTATTTTTAATCATATTTTTTCCCCAAAGTACCTATAAAAATCATGTTAAGTAATTAATTCAGTTGAGCTCCCCTCCTGCTCATTATACAAATTGACCTCAATTGTCCATGGAAACCCTTAGACCTTCACATCCTTGAAGAACCTGAGTTCTTATCTATGACCAAGATGATACATTATTACAATTTATCATCATGAATGTTTTCCTGGTATTTTGCTGCTTATTCCTGGTTCCTTGAAGGCGCGTTGATGAGGCATAATAAGCCCTTTATTTATTCAGCAAGATGTTCCTTGAAATTAATAGACTGATTTTGTCCACCCCCTGTAAGTGCCCACCCCTCAAAGATATAACAGCAAAACATAAACAGAGGGATAATATTTTATGGGGGCCTGTTTTATTTTTATTTAATCTATTGTTTTTCATGTTTTATTGCTTTTCAGATTTTGGTCAGAAAATCCTTTTGGGGGTTTTCTTCCTGCTTCACCTAATATTAAGTTTCCTGTATCTAAGTGTGATTCTAGAAAATGACAAAGGTAAGGAAAACCTTTAACTGTAAGAAAATAAGAAATTTACAAACGACAGGGGGCCATTCGGCCCATCAAGCTCATTTGGGGAGAACTTAACTAATAGCTCAGAGTTGTTAAAATCTTTTCTAGCTCTGATTTAAAGGAACCCAGGGTTTTAGCTTCCACTACACTAGCAGGAACACTATTCCATACTCTAACTACATGCTGTGTAAAGAAGTTCTTCCTCAAATTTGTTTTAAAATGTTCTCCCGCTAATTTCCACTTATGGCCACGAGTTCTAGTATTTAGACTAATATTGCAATAGCCATTTGGCTGAACAGCATCCAGACCCGTTAGAATCTTATAGACCTGGATCATGTCCCCCCTTAGTCTCCTTTGCGCAAGGCTAAACAGATTCAGCTCAGCTAACCTCATAAGACATTCCTCTAAGACCAGGAATCATTCCCGTAGCCCTCCGTTGCACCTTTTCTAAGGCAGCAATGTCCTTCTTAAGGTATGGTGACCATCTGACTATAATAGAGTTTTAACTGTGAGCCATTGTTGGTAAATGGTGTTTGTAAAATGTTTATAAACCTGAAATATTTCATTGGGATGCACCTAACAGTAATGCACTATAACCACTTCTAGTATCAAGTCATTACTGAATTACACCATACTACGTTGTAATCATCACAAAACAGGCAGTAATATCTTCTGTTTAAGCTGTAAAAAGGGTGATAGAGTGCTTTGTTATTTAATTTGTTCTGTGTGTCTTCAGAGTCGTATTTACTGATTTTAAAGGAACAGGAAGTTGTTCATTTCATTAATAACCTTTGTTGTATTAAAAACAGAAATTAACTGCAAGTAATTCTGACCACAGGACGACCTGTAAAGACCTGCGAGTTTGTGCTAATCTACATTCTGACTGTCACATTGCTCTTTCGATTCTGGCATCGACGACGTGTCCTTGGTACAAATTTGTTTTATTTTAAAATTTAATAAACCCCTTTATTGATGAGTTGTTTAAATATAAGTTTCATAGAGACCCTTATATTTTAAATAAAAGATTATGATTTTGTTTTGTAAACAGACCATTATCAATGTTTAAATTAATGAAATTAATCAATTGATGAATGAAACCCAGTTACAGATGTATAGCTGTTTGAAAGTATGTACAAGTGCCGTGACAAAGTATTTGCAAGTAATACAAAGTAATTCTTGTTTCACTCTATTTTTTCTTATTCATACCACTTAATTGTTTCTGATCTTCAAACAAATTCACAAATTCAGTGTAATACAAAGGACAACTTCAGTAAACACAACACACAATTTTTAAATGACCATTTGATTCATTAAAGGTAGAAAATTCACTAGCACCCATATCAGGAATGTGATATGTCACTCAAATCAACCAATGAACCAAATCTAAATGATAATGGATTAAATTAAACTGGACACACCCATTATTGACAGCTGACAGCCCTGTTGAATCTACACATCACTTAAATATAATCTTTCCAGTAATGTGGATGTAATGTCTCGATCAAAAGAACTTCCTGAAGACCTGACAAAAAAATGTTAATGAAATAAATCAGTCAGGAAAGACGTACAAAGCACTCTGTAAAACCCTTGGACTCCAGTGAATCACTGCGAGATCCATCATTTTTCTTGAACCCCATTGAGATATTAGGGCAGGACCTTAAATGGGCAGTTTATATTCAAAAACTATCCAATGTGGCTGAATTAAAAGAATCCTGTACAGAAGAGTGGACCAAAAATGGGGGCAATTACTTTGTCACATGGGTGATATGGGTCAGTGGTGGAACAACTGTAGACTGGGCCCAAGTGCAAAAATGGACCATGCCCCCCCCTTACTAAATTCACACCTAGATCCTGCCTACACCAGTTGCACCATTAGGCCCATCAATGATGGTGAGATTTAAGTAGTCTCAAAATATCATACCCATCTTGCACTGCAACAGTTAGAAAATTCCAGAAACATGCTTTTTTCATTAAATATATGCCTCAACAACATAGTTTGGCTACAAAACATTACAAACGATTATATTTCAAAATGGTTTTAAGTATTGTACCTAATATTTGTGTGTGTGTGTGTGTGTGTGTGTGACTCCCACCATAATGAAATTGCACACATAAAAATGAAAGATATAAAATTAGCATGTTACAAAACTACATAATAAGCATGACATCTGTACTCTGCAGAAATTTCACATATATGTGACACTTTTCAGTCAGAGGGGGGCCCTCGACATCGCAGGCCCCCATTGCCCCACCAACCATTTTGCCCATGATATGGGTGTTGATGAGTTATTTTCCTTCAATAAAACAAATTATCATTTAAAAACTGCCTGTTGTTTACTCAGCTTGTCCATTTTATTATACTAAATTTCTTTGGAGATCAGACAAAATTAAGTGTGATCAATCGGGCCAAATACTTCATCACAGCCCTGTATGTATCTGTATGACTAATGCTTTTCTCTCTACCTTTCAGCCAAACCCCGTAAATATGTATATTTCTCAGGGACTTTTGGTCTCCCTCTCCTGAATTCTGTTGCCCTGGCTGTAGCATTACAACTCAAAGCAGGTAAATACACTATAGATTTGAGATGTTTCTCCTGAAATTTTACTTTTACTAAGTAAACTTAACAAATACAGCTAGATTCCTGTGATTTTATATCAGTCACTTACTGCTCATTTGCTGACCTCAGTTCTCTGTGGTTTTTGTGATCATGTTATTTCAGACACAGGAAAACAGCCATTGGATCTACGGCTGATTGTCCTGATTTCTGGGTCTGTCATCCTCTTCAGCTGGTTTGTTATACAGATGTCTGCATACTGTAAGTATAACAGAGATATGATGAATAACTTACCATAAAAATTTAATTTCTGTACTGGGACTTTTCCAGTATCTCAACATGAGGTTTTTTGTTCTTCCTTTATGATGCTGTTTCAGTGGTGTAGAACTGTAATGGCCTCCTGGCCAGTAGGGGACACTGAGGCCAAAATGGGGACTTCTGACTATTACAAAATGAAAGGAAGTTAAAATAAACACAACCTCCGTAATGCAGCACACGTCAATAGAAAATTGTTAGTATTCATTATTATAAAATTATTGTAAATATGTAAGTAATCACTTAATATCATTACTCATCAATTTTGTAATAACCTAGCAGCTACAGTGCTGTGCAAAAGTTGTAGATAGTCAAAATAAATGTTTAAAGCTATATATATGGGTAGTACATGCACATTTACTCAGAACAAAAAACACAATATTATAATATTAGAACATATACAAATTAGGAATAACACAATAAAAACTAGTAAAAATGTCTTCCGTTCTCCAAAAAATTACTGATATCTTTTGAGACAGCTAGATGAACACTGCTTTAGTACTCAAACCTCTCCTCACGGGAGCCATTCCATGTATTTATTAAATTTCACCACCAGGTCATTTAATTAATTAGTTAAATTAGTTAAAAAGGATGAATGAAGTATTGATTAGCTATATGAGGTGTGCAAGTGGTCGGGTCAAAAAATACACTATGCATTGTATGGTTGTTGCAAATACTGGGGTGATTTTAGCAAAGGTGGCTAAGCTAACACACTTATCAGGCATAGCACAGTTCTACACCAACATTATTTTCTTTTGCTGCCTAGGACTTTTGCACAGTACTGGATATTGCACAGTACACCATATTGATATCCTACCTATTACTGATATCTTATTACTGATATGTTACTCATTATTTTAACCTAATTGAACATGTTGCTTTTGCATCTTTGTAAATCACAGGTTTGGTCAAAAAAGAAAAGTGAGTAGACATTTTTTTACATAGTATATGTACCACTTATTTTTATGATAAAATGGTTGAAATAAAGAGATATAGAAAAAAAATCGATCCGTCCCTCGTGGTGAGCCAGGCACATGTCACAGGAAGCACAGGGCACAAGGCAGGGGACACCCTGGGCAGGATGCCAGTCCATCACAGAACAAACACACAGTCACATACAATGGGGCATTTATAGATGCCAGTTGGCCTAACCTTATGTTCTGGTACTGGGAGGAAACCGGAGTATCTGGGGAAACATGGAGAGAGAATGCAAACTACACAGAACCAAAGTCGGGAGGTGTGAGGTGCCAGTGTCACCCACTGAGTCACCATGCAGCAATGTTACAAATGAGTGTCATCATGTGTTAAAATGTTATAATGTGGATTCATCTGAGTTCAGCTCCGTAATCCAGCTCTTACATGGGAACCAAACCCTTAGCTGAAATTCAGATAATTCCAAGAATTATCTACATTTAAGGTGTTACTGGGAATTGGTAAACTAGTGATTTAACTTAAAATGTGATATTCTGACAAAGCTCAGTTGTAATTATTGTATTACAATTTCCCTAGAATAAAAGAAGAGATGGGCTTGATTCAGAGACAGCAAGATACCGAGTTGGACCAGGTTGGTGCCCAAGATACATCTTCCCCTCTGTTTGGTGTCCTGGGACCTGTTTCTCATGGGGGTCACCTCACTGGTCACCGTGTGCAGCTGCACAGAGGTCGGCTCCAGCTGAGTCCAGGCAGCCCCATGTCAGGCCTCACCAGTGTCCCGGTGGCCCCTGTGTCCATTAGGATGGAGCAGAGGACTTGCTCCACTGTGACGGGTACTTGACAAAAGTCCCAAGCATAGATGCAAACCACCACTGCCACCGGGGGGGGGGGGTTTCATCAGCTTCTGGGGGGAGGAGGGATGGACTCCCCCATCTGTGCTGCTGGGCCTCTCTGTATCTTGTATTGATGGGGCACGTGTGCTTGGGGTGAGTACAGCCTCCTCTACGTGGACCCTGGACCAATTCCCCTTGCCTCGCCCATAATATGGAGCCATGCGGCCCATAATAGCTCATCCACGTTTGGTTGCCCATGAGGGCCAACCCAGCTCTGACCTGTCGTTAATGCAACTGATGCGTCCTCTCTGGGGGGGGGCCCGGCCGACTCGCTCCACACGATGTCTCTCTCCACCGCCAGCCTCACGGCTGCCTGCAAGGGGTGCGGCTGCTCCAGCTGAACATGGACCAGCTGCTTAGGGGAGAGAAAACTGATGAGCTGATACTTGGCAGCTCTCTCTGTACGGTGGGGGCATGTGTGCGTTGGCCTGCCACTCCAGGTCCTTGATGTCATTTGCTGATGCCCAAAGAAGTTTGCCAGACGTCTGCAACGACCCCCCCCCCCCAGATCACTTTTTAGGAGGTCCGGTTGAACGCACTGCCCAAACTTCGGCACCCTCACTA